TTAATTTAAAATTTATTTTAAAATAATAATTTTTAATGCTTTAATTTTATTTTATAATTAATTTTAATTTTAATTATTTATCTTATTATAAAAAATTTATTTATTTTTATTTTTTAAAGATAAAATGAGTAAAAATAAAAATTATTTTTAAATCTTTAATTATATGATAAAAGAAAAAAATTTTATTATTCTAAGTTGAAAAAAATTTATTATTTTGAGATAAAAAATAATATTTTATTATATAATTTAATAATTAAATGACAAAATATTTTTTTATTATTTTGTTTCAAAAAACCAACAAAAATTACATTGATACAAATGGAGTTATTTCTCTATCCTTACTATAAAAACTTTTTTACTCTTATACCCGTAATCACTGTACATAGCTTAAATCCAATTACATTTGCAAAAAAATTGAAAGTGGTAAAAAGTAAAAAAAAAAAAGAAAAAGAAGAGAATGCAACGAATAACCATGTCGTTAAATTTGGCCCGAAGAATCCCATTAAAAATGAAAAAGAGATATTTACCGTGGGTAGGAAATACAAAACAGGTGTGTGTTTGGTCGGGAGAGAAATTTTCTTAGTATTAATTTTTTCAAAGTTATTTATTTATTTTTATATCTTAAAATTATAACAAAAATAAGATGAAAATAATATTTTCAATTTTTTTAATATAATTTTCAATTAACAGTAAACTTCTCTACCTATAGATTGATGAAAAAAAAGAGTTAGAAATAAATTTTTTTAAAAAAATTTTATTTGAAACTTATTTGATAATTTTTTACTAATTTTTTATATAATATATGAATTTCTAACTAAGTATAGAAGTTAACGAACACAAAAATTTTATAGTAAAACTTATCAATTCATCAAAATTTTATATAATACGTTTCAAAATTTTTTGTATAATATTTCTTAACAACTTTTTTACCAAAAATTTTTTCAATAAAATTATCCATAAACCAAACAGTACCTACAAGAATCTCCTAAATTTGCAACGAATGTACGTTATATCCGTAGAGTTCACACTTCCCACGTGTTCGGACAGCCTGTCAGGATCAACAAAAATCTAATGGCACTAGCCTCCACGCGCACGTTTACTTGCGCGTGCGTAAAACACTACTGTTAAACCTGCCAAAATCCCATCTGTCAGCGTCAATCCCCACCCACATTAGCGTCACCCAAAAGCAGAAATCTCCACCGCATATCCTATCATGATCGAACGATATAGCAGATTCCTTAGACCGCATCATACTCTTCCATGCAGGTGCACCCCACTTTACAATCTCTTAAAAAGCGAGTATTTGTATTTTTCCAACTAAAAAAACATTTTTAAACCCTCAAATTTATTTTAAGATAGGATTTAAATTTTAAGTTAAAATGAAACAAATAAGCCTTCAAATTCTGTTTACAATATAAATAGATAATTCTCATAAACAAATCAAACAATATTTCATGTTTAATATTACTTTAAAAATATAAATACCCATAAATAAAAAAAAAAAAACTTATTTACACTATTAGTAAGATTGGAGAGATTATCCGTTTTGTTTTGAATTTAAGACCTTAAATATTATTTTAAAATAAGCTTAAGGACTTAAATAGGGTTTTTGCCTTTTAACTAACCCGAAGTCATGTTGCAGCCTAACTAAACTAATTTTAAATCGAGCAGTAAAATCTCGTGAGAAGTTCTTCTTATACTTACTTTTTTTTTTTTTATAAGATTTAAAATTAAAATATTAAAAAATAAAGTTATTCCAACTCAAACCGACATATGTTTCAGGTAATACTCGTAACCGAACGTATAAAAACTCGACACGTAGGCTTATCAGGAAATCTGAACACTTGGATTACCCCAAAAAATGGTAAAACCCGAAACCCCTTTTTTCCTCAATACCTTCACTCTTCTATTTCGATAAAGGTAATGCATTTTTGGTAGGAAAGTTACCTTACCGCGAATTCCTTCCACCGGAAATTTATAGGTTCCATCGATCTCGTCAATTTCCCTAATTTTACTGGGTGTTTGTTTTACACTCTGTTCTGTTTCTGCTTCCGATTTCTCTCATGGAGATTTGTGGGTCCGACATGCGAAATCTGGAGGTTTTTGCTGGAGTTTAGAGGTTAGGTTTTTCCTCTTAAATTTCTGTTTTCTAGCAAATTGTATCCATTTTTGAGGATGGGTGTAGTATAAAGTTAGAGTCTTGATCTGGGTTCTATTTGGTTTGGTCCCTTTGAGGTGTATAAAAACGCAAACGGGACCATTGCAGTATGTTCCATTGTTTTGTGTGGTTTATAGGAAGTTTTGTCTCTTCAGGAGGATTAGTTAGTAATAAGAGCTAAAACCTCACTTGTTTTAGTAATGCAACATTGTTTGGCCTAGAGATTTTGGGTTTCCATTAAGTTTTGATTAGACAGTTTCAGTCCCATTGTAAAATGTTAATTGTATCTTCTGCCATTATGGGATTTTGGATTGTTTTTGACGATGGATCTTTTTTCTTATCATTATAGGAAAAGAACCCAGAAGGCTATTGTGCAACAAAGTCAAATATTTTGTTGATTTGCTGCAATATCTGGGTTTTCAATGTAATTCGGGTGTATTCAAGCAGCAGCATTGATCTTTGTTTCGATGAGGAAGAAGAGGAAAGGGAGTGAAGCTGATGCATCTCCTGAGGTGTTAACCAATTTTGCAGCATCCCATGAATCGAGATCATCTAATCTTAGATCTCATTACTCTCTAGAAGACTATGTGAGGATAAAAAAGAGGTGCAAAGAAGATGTGATTACCCAACCTATTGGTTCTTGTAAGAGTAGACTTGCAGGCATTGCTACTGCTCCCCCTTGTGGTGCCTCATCTTTGGTCCCACCAGGGAGAGGTCTGAAGAGGAAGATAGGGTGCATAGATGTAATTACTCGAACAGGTCGGAAGAATAAGATTGAGGATGACTATGTTAAGGGTGGCACAATCGGTCAAGGGAAATTTGGGTCAGTGTGGTTGTGTCGATCTAAGAGTACTGGAGAGGAATTTGCCTGTAAAACTTTGCAGAAAGGTGAGGAGACAGTGCATAAGGAGGTGGAGATAATGCAGCACTTATCTGGTCATCCTGGGATTGTGACTTTGCAGGCCGTGTATGAGGAGCAGGACTGTTTTCATCTTGTAATGGAGTTGTGCCCTGGAGGGCGATTGATTGACCAAATGGTGGAGGGTCGGTATTCAGAGCAGCGAGCAGCCAAGATTTTCAAGGATGTTATGTTGGTTATTAAGTATTGTCATGATATGGGAGTTGTGCACAGAGATATAAAGCCTGAGAATATTCTCCTTACAACTTCAGGAAATATAAAGCTGGCAGATTTTGGTCTGGCAATGAGAATTTCCGGTGGTATGTATCCTTTACGTTTTTTTTCTTCTGTTTCTCTTTCCATTCACCATCAATTTGCCTCTTTTGCTAAGTTTTCCTAATGGTTTTGAATGACATAATTACTGCAGGTCAGACCTTGTCTGGTTTGGCTGGAAGTCGAGCTTATGTTGCACCTGAGGTCCTTTTAGGGAACTATTCTGAGAAGGTCGATGTATGGAGTGCTGGTGTATTGCTGCATGCTCTCTTGGTTGGTGTTCTTCCATTTCAAGGCCACTCCTTAAAAGAAGTGTTTGAAGCAATCAAGAATGTAAAGCTTGATTTCCACACAGGGATATGGGAATCAATATCTAAACCAGCACGTGATCTGATATCAAGAATGCTGACAAGGGATGTTTCAGCAAGGATAACCGCAGATGAAGTACTCAGTAAGCCTCTGATGCACTTCAATTTGCAGAACGGTTATTAAACTCATTAAACTGCCATGCAATACATGAAATGCTTAATGATTTTGCTATGCTTTTCACTGGAAACTTAGAAGTTCTTTGTGTAAAGAAGGGTGGGGGATTTTGTGGTCTTTTAATCCTTGTAATTTATGCATAGTTACTAATGATTCTTTTCTCTTTCTCTCATTTTCTGAGATTATTGTGGTTGCTTTCTTTATTGAATTTCCTCTGTTAACATTTGAATGGTTTTATTACAGGGCATCCATGGATATTGTTCTACACGGAGTGCGCATTGAAGACATTATCCATCAAATCAAAATCAAAGAACCAAGTAATCAGATCTTCCCAACAAGTTCTAATCTCACCTGGATCAGAGTCAAATGTAAACAGGGTCCTGGGTGGCCCTCATGCTCAGGGTCTACACACACTATTAACATCTGATAATTCTAGCCGTAAGTCTGAGGAACAAGATGAAAGTGATTTTGTGGATGCACTTGCTGTAGCAATTTCACATGTGAGGATTTCAGAGCCCAAGAGAAGCAGACTCTGTAGTCCTGCAGGACCAAGAGAGCAGCAACATTCAGTTAACTTGACGGCTAACAATCTCTGTAGAGCATTTTGATCCTGCTGATGGACTGACACCACTAACATGATTATTATCTCCACTGTTTTTTGAGCTGGGGATTTGGAATTAACTTGCCCTGGTGCAATTGCCTGTGGAGTGGGCAGACGTGATGCTTACAAGAGAAGAACAACACTGGTGACTTTCTTTTTGACGCATTTGACTTCTGCGTCTTTGTTAACTAAATAATTCCTTTTAGCCAAATGATTTAGGAGGTTGAATTCATGTACAGAATTATGTAAATAGAATGTTTCAATGCATACTACTATTATGTTCTGTTTCCTAATATGATAAAAGAGTGAAATACAATCTTTCTGGCATGAATGTACTGTACCGGAAGAAATATGTTGGATGGAGTGTGACCGGTGCTAGTCCGTTACATTGTTGAAGCAAATGACTGATTGGGTACTTCAAGGTTCAAAGCTCGTTACCTTGGCTTTAAAATAATTAGTGGTATACCTGTATCTACCAGGTTTTATTCCCCTTGTCACCCCACCTGACTTAAACGCAAAGATGTGCTAAAATGCCCAGGTTGGATAGATTCGCTCTTCATGAATTTCTTATTATTTTCTCTGTAATGTGCTTTTAAGTTTTAACATGCGGTACTGGGAGAGAAGGCCAGTCTGCACACCATTGAAAAGGCAGACCATTTAGGAGCTGGAACTAGCTAGTAAGACTTGGCTTCCAAGCAACCAACCAGCACTCTGCCCCACAATAATTTACGTACAATGTCAAATAGAATTGTAAATAAAAGGAGATAATTATATAATGACAAATTATGATTATAGGTTTAAAATAACAAGTGACATTGTAAATGTAGCATTGCTATTGTAAATATATCAATATAATTTGCCTGTCTATGCTGGCATGCTAGCTGGAAATGAAATACAAAATATTAAATGTAGAATTTTGGGGATAGAATTTTGCTTTCCATATGATCATTCTTGACTACAATTTATAGGTTAGATGAATCTTCATTACGAGGAAAGAAAAAACTGGAATCATAGCTCAGTTCACACATCGTCACGGGGAAGACTTTACACGAGAACCCACACCCAAAATTGCTCAAGGAAATGAAAAACCATTTTGGATCCTCAATCAGCAGATTTCTCTCGAATGGCATGTTCAGCAGCAACAGCAACCTACTCATCTGAACAATTTGGACCACATGTAGACAACAAAGAAGCAAAACAATGCAAAAAGAATCACATGAACAATATGGTTTGAACCATTCTTGATTATGCTCTTGTTCAATTTCCTAATATTATTCTTCAGGCCTGCTTGAGCTTTAATCATGGTCATTTGCTGTAATCAAATAAAATTGAGCTTTCAGTATATATGGAATAATTTAAAAAAAAAAATCAGAAGGTAGTCAAAGACTCTTTCAAAAATAACCAAATAAACAGCAAGGTCTTGAGATGCGCAAAAAACTATTTTAAGAAATTGTATACACCAGGTAAGCAAGGTCCACAAGAACTTATTAATGCTTCTGACTTTTCAAAAGACAAAGAAATCAAGAGAGACAGATTTATGCCTCTTCACGAAAAAGGAGACAGTTATGTAAATCAGTGATGCATGAAAGCATTAATAAAGTACCAGCTGTTCAAGAAAATCTTTCTGAAATTTTGCTTCTGAACCTATCTCTTGAGCAACCTGCACCACCATTTGGAAAGTAGGAAGAGGTAAAAAACCAATACAGATACCACAAAGCTAGCAGTTAAATTCATATTAGAAAGAAAATACATATAGCTAAAGGTTCCAAAATGAGAATTTCACTAAAGAAGAATATGAGCAATTCTTATTTCCTTCTTCATAAGACCTGATTCTTTAATCAAGCACATTTTAGAACCAACTGATACTTCTTATACATTGTAATGCAAACATTGTTCGCATTTTGGATTTATAATTTTCCACAAAATTTCCAGATTTGGCCAGCAAAAACTTCTAACACCATAATCATTAAGCAATCCTCCACTCTCTACGTATTAATTGAAACAAGCTAAAAAAGCTTAGCATGAGAGATAAATGAGATGATTACACCCATTTTGTTTATCATATGAGTTAACATACTTTGTAACTCAAACAAACAGCAAAAGGAGTCAACTACCATGTTGAGATTGTCTACAAACTGATTTATTAAAGCTATCATCTGCAACTGAATATCCACAATGGTAGCAATTTTTAGACTTCCAATTTTCTTTCCTAGGATGTCACAGCCAGCCATTATATCACAGATTCACCTTGCATTGTCATATCATGGCATTTAACATAAACACTAAGGATAAGCTCATCAAAACCTTCAAAAGATTATAATCATGTAGGAACAATACAATATTACTATTATTAAAAACATTCCTAAATCCTAATTGTATACCCATCATTCGAATAATGTTTAAAGCATTATTTTCATTCTAGGAGATCATAATTGTTGGATCACTGAATTCAATTTAAAGAAGAAAAAAGGCCTTACATTTCTCAATTGTCTAACTTGGCTATGGAGACCGGTGATCTCATCGTCCAAGTCCGCGTGCATCGGATCAATCCTTAGTTGAATTTCATCGGAGCTAGCAACCGGTCTCGTGCTAAGTCCCTCTCTGCATAAAAATCAACGTTATTCAATTATTAAGATTGGCTACGGATTGAATTCTGTCGTAACTCTGCGTTCATTTGACCAAGGATTTAATTAAATAAAAAATCAGGCCAAGGGAATAAAGCGAAACCTCGATCGGTAAGGAGCGGCGCCGCCGTAAAAGGAGCCACCAGCTGCTCTGTTCGAACTGGAAGCCATCGGAATGGATGAAGAACGAGTGGAAACCCTAGGAAAGGAAAACTGTGCTTCGAATCGAATGTGAAAGATTAAATAGAGCACAAATTTTGCATTTATGGGAGAAACGCGGTTGATGAGGATGAGAGATCGACGACGTCAACGACAGCGAGATCCACCGTCGATTTCTTGATCGCGTGGGTACCTCCTAGCAGGAAACTTCTGGTTTTAATAGCTGATACGTTTTGTTTTGTTTTTTTAAAAAATAAAAAATAAAATAGAAAGCGTAACTGTTTATTTTGTGCAATTATTTACTGATTCCTTAATTTTATAGTAGTTAAAAAAATAGGAAATCTTTAATTTTTATTTTTTATGTTCTAGAAATCTTTATTTCTAGTAGTAATTATTGTCAATTATGTAAATAATTTAATAATAATTTTTTT